TGGTCAGAGGCAGTGTGGGGCAACAACAAGCTTGAATTCTGTACAAAGTCCCAGGGTTGAATTCTTGATTGCCACTCAACCTCCACAAGTCTCAGATTTTCCATTTGCAGTATGAGGACAGTAACTGCTACCTCACAAGAGCTGTTATGGAGTGAGAACATTCATGTAATGGGAGGTTCTTATTAACATTTTTAACACATCATGGGATCTTACTGGTGTTATAAAAGAAGTAAATGTTCACTGAAGAAAATGTAGATGAGGCCCTCCCTGGTGGTGCAATGGATAAGGACACAGCACTGCAAGCTAGCTGCAGCGGCTTCAGGGCGAGTTTGATCCCCGGTCCTTGAGGTGACCCACAGGTGCGGCAGACCTCTCCTGACTGGCCCGCTGCTCCCCTTAGCAGTGTACTTCATTGATCTGCCTGCTCTGCTCCCCACTCTAGTCTGTGGTGAATCCTCTCACCGCCCCTGCACTTCTGGCTTGTACCCTAGGTTCTGTATGCATAAGTAAATCTTAAAAAAAAAAAAAGAAAGAAAGAAAATGTAGATGACACAGAAATAAAACCTTATACACCTTTTCCTGAGATATTAGTCCCTGAAATGTGATTTTACTAGAGTAGCTATAGTTATAAAAACATGCCCATGGGTCAGGCTCTATCCAGGGCTTCAGTATCACAGCCCTGGATTCTGATCAGCTAAGAATCTGTTCTACCCAATGCTGTGGAATGGCTGAGGTTAGATTGTGGGAAGAGCCTACTACCTCTGGGAAAGTGGTAAAAACCAGGCAGACTGAGGCAAAAAAGAAGGGAAGAGTTCCTGGCATTTAACAGGCCACTCTGAGGATGAGAATGTCATCTTAATCTCTCCGTGCACTACGTGGTTTATTTATCCATTTTTTAAAGACTTATTTATGCATATAAAACTGGGGTACAGGTCAGAGGTGCAGGGGCGGTGAGAGGATTCACCAGAGACAGAGTGGGGAGCAGAACAGGCAGACTGACGGAGTACACTGCTGAGAAAGCAGGTGCGGGAGAGGCCTGCTGCAACTCCTCACCTCTGGGGGATCTAACTGGCACTGAAGTGACTGCAGCTAGGTTGCAGTGGTGCACTTTACCCCGCTGCACCATCGTGGGGGGGGGGCTGCACTGAGTGGTTTAAATCCACAAGCCAGGGGCTCTCCCTTGTGTCTCAAAGGGTTAGGACAAAGCACTGCAATCTAGCCTCAGCAGCCTCAGCGCAAGTTCAATCCCTGGCCAGGGAGCTGACCCACATGGCGCAGCATAACTGGGTTAGATACAGGCAAAAGGACAACTTTATGTGTGAGGGACCTGATGCTCTCCACCATGGGTCTAGCCCTACTAAAGCTTATGGATCAAGAGTCAGGGAAGTGGTAGGCTCACCAAGTAAAACTTAAGTTGTTGGGGCCCTCCCTGGTGGCGCAGCGGGTTAAAGCACAACACTGAGAAGCTAAAGCCGCTTCCGCATGAGTTCGATCCCCGCCTGCCCCGGAGGCGACCGCATGGCGTGGCAGACCTCTCCTGACCCGCCCACTGCTCCCCTCAGCAATGTACTTCGTTGATCTGTCTGTTCTGCTCCCCACTCTGTCTCTGGTGAAGTCTCTCACTGCCCCTGAGTCTCTGGCCTGTACCCCAGTTCTGTATGTACAAATAAATAAATCTTAAAAAAAAAAAAAAAAACTTAAGTTGTTAAAACAGAAAACTGGTGGGGATAAAATGTTCAGCATTCGATGTTGACTAATAATGAGAGCAAGAAAATACAAATGAACTCAAACTGGATATATACACTGAACAGGAAGCATGTGGGACACGTTGTCATTTCCCAACTGTCTTTAACTGGATTCAGAGTCAGAAGCTTAAAGAAATGAGCATTTGAAATGTAGTCACAATCGCAGAGCACATTCAGAAGACTGTATGTATAAATCATGTTTTCAGTGGCTGTGGCTAATTCTGCAATGTCAGCTTGTGCTCATCAGTGGACCTTAGCTCCAAGAGCAGTGTGCTAAAACCAAGCCATGCTCCCCAGGATCTTTGTAGTGGAATATATCAATTTCCAAATTACTAAGTTTTTAGATACAACCAACTTGGGTCTATCTAACACTATATTAAATAACCTACCATCACAGATAACTCATCTCAACAGTAATTGCTTACTTAGCTATTAAAATTCTCAATTACAGAATAATCTTTTAAATATGAGTTATTATTACTTTGCTGGAAATTGACCACGATAAATCAAGTCTGTGTTTGTTTTTGTTATTTTCCCCTTGTTTTATTTGATAAAAATATGCTACATACTACCATTTTTAATATTTCCCTGACATTTTATTTGAAAATTTTCAAACTCACAATAGTTGAAATAGTAATATTAAAATGTTAATGCTGTCTTCACACACAAGGGGTCTTTATCAGAAGCAAAAACTCAGCAGCCAGATAGATTCTGCATGCTCGCAAAAGCAGCAGCCACCCATTTAGTGAGAGGAGCTTTCTGTCTTCAGAAAGTCTTGCAATGACTTTTTAGTAGTGCTTTTACTCATCTCATTAGAAACTCACAGGCACTGGGTTTATTCCCATTTTACAGATGAGGAAACACACTCAGAGAGGTGAAATGATCTGTTCAAGGTCTCCAGGCAGTAACCAACCCAGCTGATACTAGACTGAAGACTTCTGACTTCAGTAACTCAACATTCCGAGGTCATTTCCTCTCGGATATACATTGAGATTAAAGTCAGAGCTGAAGAGAGACACAATGAAGTATTTTAGTCTATTTTTCTAACAGAAAGCAAGAATTAACCAGGACCATGTGTGTAGCGTTATCAATCACAAGTCTGTTACTGGGAACATAAAACCACAGTGGAAACCCGAGTGGGCAGATACACAAGGAGGAAGGAACATAAGTTCTCTCGGCGCGCCATCAACACTTACTGAGTATTTACTGCCCCGGGTATCATGCTTGGGATACAGAGAAAATAAGGTTTTTATCCTGATGGAGCTCACATTCCAGTGGCTCAGTGGTCAATTCAAAAGCTGCCAATGAGAAACTGGGGGCTGCTTCTAACCCACACTAGTGTTTTGTTTGGCCCAATGAGCTTAATTTTTTCTCTTTATATTAAACTGACAACTTCTGGCTTCTCTGAAACAGGCAAGCAACTTCTGAATCTCTGAATAAACAGCAGCGCCCTCGCCCCCCACCCATGACAAACGCCCTCTAGATACCACTACAGCCTACATTTCCCACCATCGGACACCCAGACAGCCGTGGTCCAATGCATGCATTTGCCTTACCCACTTGACATCCACAAGCAGTAAAGCTGACAACCCTGAAGCAAACAAATATCCAAACAAGGTAATTTCAGATAATATTAAGTAATATAAAGTAAGTAAAATAAGCTAATATTAAGTTAATATAAGGGATGCGGTATGATTGGTGGAAAGGGCTACTTCAGATTGGGTGGTTAGGGAGAGTCTTTCTAAAGTATAATTGAAACCAAAAACAGAAGCATGACAATTCTGCCAACAGAAGGAAAAAAAAAAAGCTTCTAAGCAGAGGGCATAGTCCCCCTTAATGCTGTAAATAACTTGGCTCAGTCAAGGAAGTGTGGACTGGGTTGGCTGGGAGAGTGGCAACAAGATCACAGAGGAAGGAAGAAGCCAGATTACACAGGACTGTGTAGGCCATAGCTAGAACTTTGGAATTTATTCCAAGTGTGATGGGAAGCCTTTGGAAGGTTTTAATTTAGGAACATTGTGATCTGACATTTTTATAAGCTCTCTCTGCTACACAGAAAAGTGATTTAGTGAGGCAAGAAGAAGCAAAGAGCCCAATTAGGAAGCTGTATGATAGTAGTCTATAGGAGACAGTGGCTAGGATCAGCATGGTCAAAGAAATGACCGAGAAGTAGCAGACTCAGGATATAATCTGGACGATAGCCGGGGAATGTTCTGATGTAGTGGAGAGAGTAATGAAAGGGGAGTATTTAAGGGTAACTCCAGGTGGCTTAATCAAATACTTGAATGAGTTGAAGTGACTAGGAGAGGTCACAGTTTCAGGAAAGTAAAAGAATTTACTTTGGATAAATTAGTTCTGCCTAGACTGAAGTTCTCCTGACTTCCTCATTTTCCTGACTTCCCACATCCAACTAATCCACAAATCCAAAAATTCAAACACCTAAATATGTAACCTTTTATCAAATCTATCCCTTCAACCTCATATCCACATTTCTGTCCTGACTCAATCCTCTCCTGCCCTGACTTTTACAACAATTTTCTACAGCTATGAATAAACCAACAAGAAGCACTTAATAAGACACGTACCTCTCTCCCACCAGTCATCTTTGATAGCAGAGATCATGTCTCATTCTATTTATCTCTGGTGCTTAATCCTGCACTGGGAACAGGGTAGGTACTCAAAAATCTGATGAACCGAGAAGCAGTCTCCTCAAATAGGATAATAACCTCCTGGAAGGGAGGAAGACCACCTTGGGATTCTATGACACCTTCACACAAAGCAGAACTATGTATCAAATCTATGTCAGAAACATCACCTTCCACAGGATGTATTTGCTTCATTTTAGTTTCAAAATACTGATTCCCACTTTTACTGGGTAGCTAATGATACTGGAGGACAGAAACATCTATTACTATTTTCCACTTTTTTAATCTAGAGGTTTTGTACTCTCATACCCTCAAAGCACTTATTAGGAAGTCACAAAGAGGGTTATTTTCATTTTACAAATAAGAGAACCAAGGCACAGAACAAAATCCCTTAATTACTTTTAGATGAACTAGAAGCACCGTCTGGATTAAGACTAACCCCTCTCTGACACCATACCACTATCTTTAACTGGAAGATATTCTAGTCTCCCACCCCTGAAAGGTTACTGGTTAGTACTCAGATCTTCTCTAGGTTTTGCCCACACAGTTACAAATGTCCCTGGGTACCAGGGTGTATTGCCACAAAGTCAAAGACCATGTTTTCTATCTCTTTTTACCTACCATTCTTCTCAGTACCCTTCATCTCCCCCCAAAAAGTATTTTGGTCATTAGCCTGGGAGGTCAAGTAAGTGTAAGAATCACCATCAGCAAGGACAGAGAAAGATCTAAGTAGGCAAAAGTTATTCCGGTGGATAAAGAAAGGGGCCACCACTAAGAAAATCAAAATACTTATTTCAAAAGGTTTCCAGCTTGGGAGTACGTGGGAAGAAAAGTGGCAGCGGCAGCAGCAGGCCAGGTCCATCCCGACTTCTTCTTCCAGAGTTATTTCTTCCAGGCACCCAGGCTCTTCAGTGCATCCTGAGCCTGGGTCAGCTGGTGCTGTATCCTCTGGCGGGTGCTCTCACTGGAGGCGCGCTTCAGGAGGCCCTGCATTTCTTCTACCACTGCCCGGTGGCCAGCGGTGTTGTGGAAGAGCCGCACAGCCCGATCGCCACAGGAGGCCAGAAGCCGGCCAGTGATGTCAAAGGCCAAGTCAGAGATATACTCTCCATGGACTTGTTCAAAGCACTCCTCCTTCTCACCCCGTCGGGTATTGTAGAGATGAATACTGCTGCCACTTGCCAAGGCCAAGACCTGGGCATCAGGAGAGAGTGCCAGGCGGCAAGGCAGGGTGCTTGCCTCTTCAAAGCGTCCTGTCCTCAGCAAGTAGGGGTCTTGCTGCTTCTTGTATTCCACATCTGTGTCCCACAATTTCCAGGTACCATCCTTGGAGACAGAGGCCATCCTGCAGCATGGAAAATCATGGCTCTATTCCCAACATATCCTGGAGGAGAGGTGACTGGGACAGCATTAGGGGCACCAGCAAGGAAACCACTCTACTGATAACGCTTACTTTCTGCTTAGGGTTAGGCACTCCACCCACCTCAGAGCTCAGCAGAGGTAGAAGGACCTGGATGTCAAGAGGGCCTGAGAGCTCCAGGTAAGAATCAGAGGATTCACTTACCTCCGGGAGTCATTGGAGAAAGCGAAGAAATGGACAGCTGCGGAGTGACCCTTCAATTCGAAGGCTCGGACAACCTCCTGGAAGTCGCCTTTTTTCCCAAAGCAGACTTCCCAAACTTTTACATCAGGGGTGAAGCCACACGAAGCCACAAACCTGCCATATGACCCAGTTTCCTTTAAAACTTAATTTTAAGGGTATTTTGTTACTGCAAACCACTTTCTTGAGAAACTTATATCTGCTATATCTTTTTAAAGCATTTTAAAACGCAAGGTCTTAGTTCAGTCTCACAAATATGTTATAAGCTGCATTCTACTCCCAACACAACTTTTTGAAAACTATAGATGAAGAAATATAGATTAAGAACTTAATATAGTCTTTGTAGTCCAATATAGACTAGGTGACTTAATCCACACTATATGTATTTCCACTACTGGAAGCTGACTTTCTGCTCTGGCCTTGTTCCCAGTCCCAACTTCTGCCTTCCTCACCTGCTACAAGGGGATATAGCAGCATGCATATTATTCATCTGGTTGGTGTTGATTGTAGACAGCACCTGACCTTTCAGATTCCAGATGAGAACAGTTGTGTCACTGGAAGCAGTCATGATGAATTTCCCTGAGGAATTAATGACATGAGCTGAAGTCAATTATCTTATCAACACTCATTCTCCAAGGACACAGATCTTATGAAGGTCTCTGCTGCCCGAAGTATCCAAGCTTGCTCACCTCCCAGGCCAAGGGTCACCACAGATAATAAGGACTGCTACAGTTTTATCAGCATCCCCTGGGGACTTTCTGTGGTTCCCAGGACTCCAGTAGAACACAGAACCAGAGTCATTTTGGCACACTAGGGCTGAGCCCAACTCTCAGTAGCATAAATTCATTCAGCAAAGATAACCGGAGCCATTTCCTCTCACTTTGGCAAGTTCCACCCTTTGAATTCCTCTTACCTGTGTCAGCAATACAAATGTTGATGATGGGTGCCTTGTGCTTTTTAGGAAAGTCTTCTGGGGTAGCCGTGAAGGTATAGTCACCACTCTCTCGTTTGTTCATCTTGTAGACACGGAGGGTGTCTTCATTGGCCAGCCAGACAATGAAGGCCCTAAAGACAGACAGTAAACTAGTCCCTCATGTATTTGGTCTATGTGTGGTAGATTTTGTGTTAGTTTTGAAGAAAATGAAGATCTCCCATCAAGCCCTGTAGTTAGCTTTATAACTTAATACCTTGGTTCAAAAATCACTTGCAACTCCTTACAAAGAGGACTCTCATAGCTCTGGCTCCCTCAGTTTCTCTCCAGGGTTCAGAAAACCATTCTGCTCCCAAAACTAATCTGGTAGCCAGGCTGATTTTCCCTACATAGAGACAGATCTTTTCCTCTCTGCTCCCTTGCCTTGTAGCTGCATAGCCCTCCAGGGAGCCCCAGGAAGTACTCAAGCCATTTGAGTGCTTTCTTTCTGCCACCCCAAGCAAGACATTGTGACTCCCTTCACTACCCCAAACCAAGGGTTTGGAAAGGACACAAACATGGGGCAGAGCTTCTACAGGAACACCTGAGGGTCCATCCTGTCCCACCTGCAGTCAGGGCTGAAGCGCACCAGGGTGGCGTGGTCCAGTTCCACATTGGCTCTCATGCTGCGGTGCTCCCGCTGCAAGAAGTCCTTAGTACTCCAGATGCGGACGGTGCGATCATCTGCACAGGTGGCAAGGTACTTGCCATTGCTGCTAAAGTCCATGCAAGATATGTTCCCACTGTGGCTCTAGGGGAAGGGTTGCAGGAAGTGTGAACAGAGACCCCTGGGACAGAAGGGAAGCCTAACCAGCAACCATGACTCAAAGGCCCTGTTGCCTGGTTTAACAGCAAGTTGAAGATGGGATGTGATAAGGAATAGAATGGGCTTCCTCACTGACTTTGGTCAGAGGAAGAGCAGTATGAAACATTCAAGCAATATGTGGGGGTGTGAGTCTTTGTGTTCATGTGCTGTATATGGGTACCCATGTACCTTTAGTGCTGCAGCCAAGAGGCGGTGGGTGAAGTTGTGTTGTTGAGGTTTCTCCTTGCGAATTCGTTGATGCTGTTTCTGCTTCTTGGACTTTAAGGACTTGTCAAGTGGAAATCCATTAGCTTTTTGGCCTATAAGGAAGAGCCATGTCACCCATCCATTCACTCACTACACATTTACAGGCTACCAATGATTGGTCAGGCAATGAATCGAGTAGCAAGAGATGACCAGCTATTGCAAGGCAGAGGTTTCTGAAACAGTATTGGTTTGGACTGTGCCTCTAACCACTCAGTGATCCTGAGGAGGCTGCTTGCAGTTAGTCCAGATAGCAAAGGACTCAACGTAAATTAGAAAAGGCATCCCTCAGGGCTGGTAGCACAGTATGGCCAGTGCGTGCAGCTCTTTGGTCAAATATCCCTGCAAGTGGAATAATGTGCACAGCTGAATCTGGTGGTTCTGGCCCTGGTTAAGTTACTTCACTGTTTTGAGTCTTAGATTCCTCAAGGAGCTTGTGAAAATTAGATTACAGAGTTCCCAAAACAAGTGCCAGAAGCTCAAAGGAATTCCAAAGACAACGTGAGGGTGAGAGAAGTCAGTGTTGAGCACCACCCTCTATGCCAGGGCTGGTGCTGGCTGTTGCTTTTTCATAAAATATCTAATTGAGAATGAAACTAGGTGCATGTGTTCTATCTCTGCAGATGCACAACTGCTACAGGGAAATGACCTCCTGAGCTCCACATACAATCTGCGCTCTGCTTACCTCTCCAGCCTGGTTTAACAAGGCCCCTCCTTCCTCTTCTCAGTAGGGTCATATCAATTTCTGTTTCAAGACTCCTTGCTTTCAGTCGGATTGCCTGTCAGGAAAGTTCCTTCCTAGTCTCCTGGAAAACTCTCACACACCTATCCTTCAGAAACCTATCTCCTGTGCTTTCTACTTTCAGTGGCTCACTACCCCACCAAAAAAACCCCACCAAAACCAGCAGCAGTTGACCACCCCTACACTTGTTTCCTGTTTCTAGTACCGACCTTCCCCGTGAAACCTACCACGTGTATTTTTTTTTTTTTTTTACCTACATTGAAAGATATTCTTCTCCCTCATCCAACAATGGATTCTCTAAAAGAAAAGTCTCCGGAGCCTAAATGTTGCCGCACATCGGGGAAGAGTCCATTGAATGAATGAACCCCCTCACCTCATTTCCATGAGATAACCCCCCTCACCCCATTTCCATGAGAGAGTTTACAGGCGCTTTCGCAGTAAACCCGGGCAGAAGCTGGGGCGAGAGGTTTCGGGGCTCGCCCTCAGACGGGGAACGCGGCAGCGCGAGACCCAGTTTCTACAGCAGGGGCCCAACCAGCCGGAGGAGGCGCCTAGCCTCTGGCGGCGCACCTCATTTCACAGGAGACTGAGGCCCAGAGCCCGCGGTACCCCAGCAGGCCCCAAAGGGCAGGTCTGACCACCGGAAAGCCGGCGGCGAAGTCCCCGAGGGTCACCCCTTCCCGCCCGATCCCACTAACCAGCGGCCCGGCGGCAGGTCTCCTCTGCGCGCAGCCACCCCCGTGCTACCGCCGCCGTCGCCATCAGGGCCAGCAACCCGAGCAGCAGAGACAGGCCTATCAGCTCCGGAATCTGCGGCAGCTCCATCTTGACCCGCCCGCTGCCACCTCAGCCTCTGGCTAAATGGGCGCTAGCTCGTCTCCGTCTGCGCGGGGCCACGCACGCACGCGGGGCGGAGCCTGGCCGTTGGGCGTCCCGAAGGGCGGAGTCAGACCGTTGGCGCGCCTCGGGGCGGGGCCTTGCCGTTGGCTCATCAACATGTAGGCGGGGCCTATCGTAGACCCGCCTCGGGGGCGGGGCTTTGTAGTCTGCGGGTCCCGAGAGCCCGGGCTTAGCTGTTAGCTGGTCCTGGCGCTGGAGACTGGTGCAGTCCTAAGGGTGGAGGCTAGGCCCTGTTCTGGTAGCCCCTTAAGTTACTCATAATTGTTTATTAAACACATTATTCCAGTCATCACTACACTGAAATCCTTTTTTTTTTTTTTTTTTAAAGATTTATTTATTTGTGCATACAGAACTGGGGTACAGGCCAGAGGCTCAGGGGCGGCGAGAGGCTTCACCAGAGACAGAGCGGGGAACAGAACAGACAGATCAACGAAGTACACTGCTGAGGGGGGCAGCGGGCGGGTCAGGAGAGGTCTGCCACGCTATGTGGTCACCTCCGGGGCAGGCGGGAATCGAACTCATGCGGAAGCGGCTTTTGATTCTCAGTGCTGTGCTTTAACCCGCTGCGCCACCAGGGAGGGCCATACACTGAAATCCTTTTAAGGAGACAAACCAGTTTATAATAAAGCCCTTTTAACCAGTGAGAAAGTCTTCTTGGCATCAGGGGAAACTCAGACTTTTACTATTAGTGGAGTAAGGATGGACTTTTACTGTCAGTGGAATTGGAGTGTGGGACCACCTCAGCAAAACCTGGAAATGAGGGCCCTGTGGGGAGGTAGGGCATGATCAAAGTAAAGTAGCAGATAAGATTGGGAAAGTAGGCAGCAGCCCTTCTGCCCACCTGTGACTCTGCAGGTGTATCTTTTCACCAGCCTTCTCCCTATGCAAAGCAGCAGAGGCTGCTCCTCCCAGCCTTCCTGCCTGTGACTAAGTACAGCCTGTCATTTTTCAGGGGGCAGCTCTTTTTGCCCACTTGTGTCTGTGCAAGTGTCCTTGACTTCCCTTTTTATAACAAACCTGCCCTTTTGGTTATGGATACACACACACACACACACACACACACAAATAAATAAATACACAATTACTAGGAAGGACTTGAGTGCTAGCTCACACCAACAAGCAGAGAGGAACCTCTGCTGATTACCACAGTGAAAGACTGTCTATGCGGACCACTACATGCCAAGACCAAGACAGCCAGGAGATGGTTGCAAAGATCTTTGAGGGATATGATAAAAGCCTGGACATGGGGGTGACTTGAAGAGTGGAAAGGAAACTGAAACAATGTGGAAAAAAAATTAGAATAATTATAGATTCACAAGGAGTGGCAAAAAAATTCAACAAGAAAGAATCAGGTGCCTGTCACCCAGTTTCTTCCTATGGTAACTTCTTGTATGACCATAGTGCAAAGGAGCAAAATTGGTAGACACAATCTCTAGACTCAGAATTCACCAAAAAGGAAATAATCTGAAAGATGAACTGCTAGCATTTGGGTTGGACCCTTAGCTAGAGAGGGAATGGTCCCAGAACAGCAGTGAATCCAAGTTCATAGTGAGTCAAAGTACCAGGTTCAGGGGTTCCAGATTCAAGTGTTTTCTTTCTTACTAGGGAGCCTTTCTGACAGTGCAGGCCCTCTGGCTTTTAGAAGGAACCACTGAAGAGGCTGCTGCAGAGACGAGATAACAGACAGATACGCCACAATCTGGTGAGGAAATAGATCCAGTCAGAGAGCAAATGGAGCCGTCTCATTTCCTTCCCTTTTGTCTTGGGGGGCGGTGGGGGGGGGGGAAGTAGGGTGGCTGGCATTGACTCATCTGTGAGCAATGGGGTGGGGAGGCCTAGGAGGGAGTATTCAGAGCATCCTGGACTTTCCTTCTGAATTTGCTATATAGAACTATAGGCTCAGTCACTTTCTGTACCAGAAATATTTTGCATGTGACATTTATTGATTCAGGAGCTTTGCATTTTATTTAATCTTTTCATATTCCCATCCCACAAATTAGGAGATTGATGCTCTAGACTTATGCTCATTAAGTAATTTGCTAGCAGTCACAGAGGTGAAGAGAGGACTTAGCGACAAATGCAGGTCTGCTGACTGCAATCTCTTGATGTGGGGACAAGGAGAAGCAAAAGCCAAGGTCAGCTGGGTGTAGTTTAGTCCAGGCTACACAATTCACATCCTTGAAGTCAGTTGATCTTTATAGTGGCCCATGAGATAGATGATACTGTAAAATAACTCAAAACAGTAAAAAGGAGGGAAAAAACAACAACTTAGGCTTAAATTAAGTAACTTACCCAAGGTCAACAAGGATGCAAAAATTAAAACCCAGAGTCAAATTGGGATCATTGACATGCCAAGATCCATGCTCTTCCCTCTTCACCACTGGACACAGGAAGACCTTATTTTACCTTCAGGTGTTGTACAGCTCAGCTGGGAGTCAAAGCTGACATGTGGAAGAACAGCATGTGACAAAGCAGGGTTTGGGAAAGCTGGGCAGAGCAGCAGGGCCATCTGCCAGTAGATTTTGAAGAAGTGAGATTTGGCTGTACCGTCAAGGGTGGACAAGTGAAACAGGAGGTAGGAGGGAATTTTTTTATTTTTTATTACAAAGTTTATTTTTACATCATTTTGCACATTTTTTTTTCCATCTCGATTGTAATCCCTGCGGGTTTCCCATCACCAAATCACCCCTGTGCCACCACCATAGTCCCGTGCATTTCCCTCCCTTCCTCCCTCCCCCCGTTTTTGATCCCATTCCCCACTCCACCCCCACAAAATGTCTCTGGTATATGGTTGTTCATTATTTTTGTTATTTTCTCGCCTGGTCCATTATACTCCTGCTATGAGTGAAACCATCCAGTATTTTTCTTTCTCTTTCTGGCTTATCTCACTAAGCATGATCTTTTCCAGCTCCATCCAACCAAGTTGCTGCAAAAGACATGTGTTTCTCTTTTTTGGTTGCTGAGTAATATTCCATTGTATATATATACCACATCTTTCTAATCCAGCCATCTACTTTTGGGCATTTGGGCTGCTTCCATGTTTTTCCAATTGTAAATAAAGCAGCAATAAACATGGGGGTACAAGTATCTTTTTCAATCAGTGTTTTTGTGTCTTTTGAGTAGATACCTAGGAGTGGGATTGCTGGGTCGTAGGGAAGCTCCATGTTTAGCAGTTTGAGGAACCTCCAAACAGTTTTCCATAGTGGTTGTACTAGTTTGCATTCCCACCAGCAATGCAGGAGAGTTCCTTTTTCTCCACATCCTCGCCAACATTTGTTGTTGCTAGTTGTTGGAAGATGTGCCATTCTCACTGGGGTGAGGTGGTATCTCATTGTGGTTTTAATTTGCATCTCGGTAGGAGGGAATTTGAGATGGGAAGCAAAGCCTGGACAACGTGGGGTGGTAGATCTGATTCCTGTGCAGGAAGGCATGGCTGTACCTCCTGTCTGGGTGGGTGGGTGTTGCAGATGATATTAGAGGAAAGGATGCTGTGGGAGGGGAATGGATAGAGAGACGAAAAGCTTAGGAGGAGCTATGCCTTCTTCAAAGTTGATTATGCCTTGCAGAGGCAAAGCAGAACAACTACGAAGCTGGATATTCAGGACCCATGGAATATGAGAAGGAGCGGGGCCCAAATACAAAGCATGTTCAGAAGCCTGGCCTTGCTAGAGGCCAGCTGGAGCCCAAGAAAGAATGGGAATGTAACTTCAATTTGCAATTGAATATCTACCTTGCATTGAGTGGAATGCTCCCTACTTTTGGTCTTGTATAAGATGAAATGAAAAATTTCCTTATTGTTTAAGCAGTGGTTGTCAGAGTATGACTTTGGGCCTCTATCATTAGAAATGCAAGCCCATAGCAGACCTGTTGACTCAGAAGCCTTGAAGGTGGGGGCCCAGCAAGTTGTATTTTAGCAAGCCCAATAAATGATTCTGATGCATGCTAAAATTTAAGAACCAGTGATTAACTAATTTGAGTCCTAGAAGTGTTATTTGCTCCTCAAAATCTCCATTACAGTAGGTCTAAACCTTGACTGCAATTTTGAACAAAATGCTGACGTACCACATCCAGGGATTCTTGTTTAATTGATCTAGACTAGGGCCCTCCTTGGTGGTGCAGCAGGTTAAAGCACAACACTAGGAAGCAAAAGCCACTTCAGCATGAGTTCAATCCCCAATCAGGAAGATGACCCAATTGGCACAGCAGACCTCTCCTGATCCACCCACTGCTCCCTTCAGCAGTGTACTTCATCTATCTGCCTGTTCTGCTCCCCCCTCTGTCTATGGTGAAGCTTCTCTCTGCCCCTGCACCTCTAGCCTGTACCCCAGTTCTGTATGCAGAAATAAATAATTTTTTTTTAAAAAGAACTAAATAATTGATCTGGACTGAACCTGGTGAAGATTTTTAAAGCACCCTCCCACCAATTATTCAAAAGTACATATAAGTTTCAGGTGCAGCTAGAAGAGGTACAGGAGGCAAGTGCAAGAGAGAGTGAAGGCAAAGCTCTCTGGGTCCAGGCGATGGCCGAGGGGATGGCGGCTTATGAGAGCAGACTGCCAGGGTATGGTGTGTGGGAAGCAGTCGAGGACTATTTCCAGCTTGGATGGCAGCACCTGTCTCAGGAATGGGAAGGGTGGAGAAGACCATCTTTGAAGGGTAGACCATGGACTACAGGCTCAGAAATGATGAGTTCTATTATGGCTCCTTCAAGGCACCACAGTAAAATATTCTCTTCCCCGTTTTACTGGTGAAAACCTAGGGCACAGAGAGACTTATCATTTGCCCTGTGTGGGGGCAGTGTGGTCTGTAAGGTGCAGCCTGTCAGAGAGAAGGAAGACAGCCTGCAGAGAAATCTGGATTGGCACGCAGGGAAAGAGAGTTCTAAGAAAGAGGCACCTACAGGAAGGCAAGAAGAGCCTCACAGTCATGGGACTTGGTAGTGACTTTGGTGTCAAGTAGCCTTGGTGAGAGCAGTGCAGGGGTGAGGCTGGGGTGCAAGGTGAGTAGATGAGCCAAAAGGGTGGGGTCTGGGGCGAGTGGGAGACGAGGAAGAGAGAGTAAACAGGTGGTGAATCTTTCAAGACAAGGTGGCATCTAGAGGAGCACGAGGTCAAGAGATTTTATGGGACTCTTTCTGGCAGGGTATGAGTGGGTGGAAGCCACAGAGCATGACGTGCCAGGACTGACCTTGCAGAGGGCCACATCAAGACTGTGGCGGTAGCAAAGAGCACTTCAGGGCTGGCTGCACCTGCCACCTGTCCAGTAGACTAGCAGGAGACTCACTCAGGCCTGGCAGTCAGGATGGGCACCTTACAGACCACACTGCCCCCACACAGGGCAAATGATAAGTCTCTGTGTGCCTTAGGTTTTCACCAGTAAAACGGGGAAGAGAATATTTTACTGTGGTGCAGGCACTGTTGTAGACCCTTTATATATATTACGAGTCAGTCCTCAAGGAGACTCCCGGGGTAGGTGGTGTGAGGATCAACTGAATGAACATACAATAGCTCTCGGCTTGTCATAAACACTAGGTAAGTGTGCAGTGGTGGTTGTTTCTGTTTTATTCTACATGAATGAGGGAGAGGCAAAGCCCGAGGAAGGCCCTGCTGTTGGTAACTGCAGATGTCTCTGAGAAAATGTGAGAAGGTTCACTTACCAGGTTTGAAGGTCAGTTCCACAAGGGAGAGAGCTGCAGCAGTGACAGAACCCCCAGACGAAGACCACCACTGGGTCCATCGTTGGCCTCCATAAATATTTTTTAAATGGATCATGAAGTATTGGGGCCTGTGAGTCATTTATGTCCACTCCTCATCTGAAGTATTGCTCCTTTTGAGACACCCCAACCAAGTTGCATCCCCACTCTGTTCTCATCTCGTGAATTGGGGAGCTCACTACACCCAGAGGCACCAGTTTCTTCTGCATGGTTCCAGGGAATGGCCCTGTCACCTCTATTCCTTAGTCCTAGCTCTGTCCTCTTCCGCCTTGGAAGGTGGTGACCTTCTCTGAACCTTCTGTCCATGAAGGGGGTTTCTAGGACAACTGTCATCTCTCTCCCAGATGACAGCAGCAGTCAAACACTGACTACAATCCTTGCTTCTGGCTGTCCCACTGCAGCCTTTTCTCAAGTCAGCACTCAGAGGGACCTCGTGAAGAAGTTACCTCTGATCTTGCCCCACTTATGCTAAAAACCTGCTATCACAGAGAAAAAGCTGAAGTCTGGGCTTTCCCTGGTGGTGCAGTTTGAGTTCCATCCCCACCCCGAGGTGACCCACATGGCACAGCTGACCTCTCCTGCCCGCCCACTACTCTCCTCAGCAGTGTACTTCATTGATCTGCCTGTTCTGCTCCCCTCTCTGTCTCTGGTGAATCCTCTCACCCCCCCCCCCCCGCACCTTTGGCCTATACCCCAGTCCTGTATACATAAATAGCTTTTTTTTTTTTAAAAAAAAAAAAGCTCAAGTCCTTTCATGGTCTGCCAGCTCCTCCGCCAGTCACCTCGCATTGCCACTCTGCTCTGTCTCCATCCCAGAGCAAGACACATTGACAGTCCCTATAGTTTTTATTTTTATTGGTCAAGAATTCCTTACAAAATACTCGCACATACGCACGCACACACACATGCACGCACGCATACATGTGTACTCATGCACACACACAGAGATGCCTGCTTTGGCCTGGCCACCCCCTGCCTTGCTCTCTTCCAGATCAGCCCTTCCACTCAGGGATGCCATCTCGCAACCCCAAGTTTACTGCTTCTCTGCTCCGAAACAGGCTGGCGTTCCTCACATGAGGGGAGCACAGAGGGGTGGCAGGAAGCAGATCATCCCCTTCTCTTCTGCAGGCTCCCTGAGTTGCCAAGCAAAGCCCACAAGTATCACTGCTACTGAGACCATGGGACCATTTTCTGATTGAAGTTCCCCCACTCCCACTTTTCAGACTGAAAATGGAGGTCCACAGAGAAGGGTGAGTCTCCCGGGGCCACAGCACTGGTGGCTGAGAGGGCAGGGCCAGGAAGTCAGTTTTTCCTGGCTCCAAGAGGTGGGAAGAGACCTGGACCTTGCTCAACCCTCAGGAAACAGTATGACCAGGCCCTGGGGCAGGAGGGAGTATACACAAGTTATCCCTGGAGTCCTTGCCCAGGAAGACAGGGTAGCCGAGTGAGTGGCAGGGTCTGGCCAGCACTATAATGGTTTGCCAAGGGTGCCCTCTGTGACTGCCCGCGTGGCTTGCTCGGGTATACAGCTTGGGTCCGTCAGGATACTGGTGGAGATACTCAGCTGGCGCAGGGAGTTTAGGACAGCTGGGGGAAAGAAAGAGAGATGCCTCCTGGGGTCAGGGCCCTCCCCTTGGAGGGAGGACTAGATGCAGTAAGAGACTAGATGAGGACTCGTGGGCAAGATGATCAGCCCACCTAGGACCTCGGTCTGCAGGCCACCCAGTAGCTGGGGGTCATCCAGAGGACACAGTGGGATGGCCACAACCTTAGGCTCTTTTGAGCAGGCTGGACCTGGGGTCTGAGCAGAGTGGAACCCTCTGCCCTGAGGCCTGGACATCCCAACGGGCAGGCAGGTGGCTCACATACTTGGTCGGAGAACAGGTAGGGAGCAATACTGGTCCAGCCAGGCCAGTGAGGTCTGGCGGAGGCTCTGCAAGCTTGCTGTGGACACCATCCCATTGAAAGACTCGAACAGAGGCCGGATGAGGATGCTGAACTGTGCCCAGGTCAAGGAGCAGGCCTGTGGGCCAACTGGTACCCTCACCCACTTCACATAGAATGGCAACATCTGCCCCCAGCCAGGGGAGGGGCCTGACTACTGACCCACCTTGATCCTCTGTTGCTGCCACCCTCCCACCTTGCTGAGATCTGCCCTCTCTCTGGCTCTCAGCCCCCTCCTCCTTGTTCCTCCATGGCCCTCTTTCTGGCCTGGACTGACCCCATTCCCTGTTCCAGCTCAGTCAAGAGTTTCACTTGGGAGATTCCACATCTTCTCTAGGTTTGCCCCACTTCCACCACTGAGTTGATGTTCCCCACAAACTGCCCTCCAGACTTTCTGTGGCCAGGGCTGTGGTCTCTTCCTCCTTTAGTTTCCCTCTGCTCCCAGCCCATTGTGGGTAACCCTGCTGGCCAAAGATGCCAAAGGCCTGGGAGGCATGGGTGCAAGAAGCCTCTTCCCTTGGGACAGCTCTGAGACCCTGCCTGGGAGCTGAGCCTGTGTCAGATGCAGCTTGGACCAGTGGCAGCATCCCCCTGCCGCTGGCCGAGTGAGGATACGACCCAGAACTTCCAGTTGTGCAGCGTGCGGGTCCGGACATAGTCATCAAACATGACCCGCATCTGATCGAAACGCTGGTGTGTGATGGGCACTCCGGTAGCAGGCAGCTGCTGCTGGCACAAGCTGGAGAGGCGGGGAGGGTCAGGGTTGGAGTCAGGAGGCATGCCCCTGGGTCCAGTGCCCCAGGCCCCCGCCTACTTAATGGCAGCATTGAGCTCTTCAATCTGGTCCCGTAGCTGCTGGGCTTCCTCCTGCATGGCCGCCCGCTCCTGCTGCAGCATGGTGATGTACTCTGCCGTCTTCTGCAGCGTGGTTGCTTTGCTCACCTGCAGGCATCACTGGTGTGGGCTCAAGTTCTAGGGGTCACCCCACCCTGGATCTACTGAGGCACTGGGGTGGGAGGAAGCACCTGGCTATCTGGAAGACCCTGGGATTTGATGTTGAGTGTAGTGGGGGAAGTGTCTGTGAAGGGGCTGTGTGGATCTGGGAACCAGCTGGGACTGGGGCTCACCTTAAGGCTGGGCTGGGCACTGAGCGTGCTCACCAGCCCGTGCAGTGTGTCAAATCCCAGCTTGATGTTGAAGCGTCGCTTCTGCTCCGCAGAGATATGTGTGATGCGCCGGTTCTCTGTCTTGGGGTAGAAGTAGGGTGAACTCTGGAAGAAGCACAGAAGAGCCTTGGAGGTAGCAAACAGAACCTGGAGTCGGAGGCAGTACCCACCTTATTGTTGTCTGGACGGGCCCGGCTTAGGATGGGGTGAGGGGGAGAGACATGGACACTCAGAGTCCCTGGGCTTGGCATGGAGTTGAGCTCCTGGGACAGCTGCTGCTCACCACCTGTAGCAGGGATCAGGAGGTGAGGTGGGACGAGGGACTTCACCCCAAGCAGAGCAGAAGCAATGCTTCAACAGCACGCTGGGGTTTGACACACTGCACAAGCTGGTGACCAGCATAGAAGAGAGGGTCCCATTGCCCAGTCCCTCACCCTGGCCCCAGGTCTAGTCACCCCTCTTTTCTTCCCCTCCCTCAATCCTCTAGAGTTCCCCAATCCCTGCAACCCTCTTACCGCTAGGTGCTGGGGGTGATAGCCGCTCCGCTTTGGGGACAACCAGAGGCCTGGGAGGGACCAGTGTGGCTGGGCCTGGTGATGGCCGGTGTGGTGGGGCCGAGGTCGGGGAAAAGAAGGTGCGGGGGAAATCAGGGGCCGTCTCCTGCTGGGATGGAGAAGGGGGAAGAGTTGGAGTGAAGTCCCTCGGCCTACCTCACCTCCTGTTACCTGCCATCTTACCGGGGAGCCTGGGGGCTGAAGGAGGACGCTGGATGTGAGCGGTGGTTCTGGGCCTTGCTCCGGTTTGGCTGCGTATAGACGGAACTGTGAGCTCCTGAGGCTGGCCCCAACCCCATAGTTTTTGGGAACACACTCCTCTCCTAATCCGGTATCCCTTTCTGGTTCAGCACCATGTCTCTAATGTCTCACCACCCTGCCCCCCAGCTGAACCTTCCCTCAACCCTCATCCTCCACTCCCACAAACCCACCACTTTGCTTTGCTCTTCCCATCTCACCTGCTGTGAGCAGCTGTGTGAGGCAGGGGTTGTTGCCCCCAGCAATGGCAGTGGGGCTGGCACTGGCAGGGGCCAAATTGGGGGGGCTGGGTCTCTGCACCCTAGGGGAAGGGGTAGGGGGCTTGCCTCTGGGTTGCACACCTTGGGGCACTGTGAAATGAAGCCCAAATGGGGGATCCGGATACCCTGCGGGTAGAAGGTCTATGGGGAAGCAGGTAGAGACAGTGCCTGGCCCAGGCTGTGGGGTGAGTGGGAAGGCTGTGGGGGCGGGCAGTGGGGATACCCCCGTGGCAGGAGGCACTGTAGGGAAGGGGAATCTGGGTGAGAAGATAGGCTCTTCTGGTAGCAAAACAGTAGGTGGAGCCAGGGGAGGAAAAGGGGTAGAGGGACAGGGCTCCAGAGCAGGCCCCTTGGTAGGGACAGGGTACTGGAGGAGGGGTGGGGGTGTAGGAGGCGGTGGGAGCTTGATCTTGGGGTCTTCAGGAAGGAAGAATTCAGAGCTCAGGAAGGCATTGGAGTCCAGGGGGCCCGGACAGCTGCTCTGAGCCTGGTTGGGGGGAGCAGACAAAGAGAAGGGTCTCGAGAAAGATGGCCTTTGCGGCCACTCAAGCAGCCTCCCAACCTGGATGTGCTGGGGGCCAGGTGCTGGGAGAGGCAGGAGACGTGACCCGTGCCCTGCAACACACACATCAAGGTGGGAGGAGTGGGACACACTTACACACAAATTTGGCACGAGCAAGAGCATCCATTTCCTGCCCATCCATTCATTCACCAAGCCTGCACCCATCCTCCAGTGACCCTTTCCGCCATCCATCCTTCATCTACCCACCTGCCTATTCGTTCTCTCACATGTGAGCTAGCACATCTACTTGTCTCTCCATCAGCCCATCAAGCTGTCCAACAATCTATACTTCATACATTTACCAACCCACCCACCATCCATCCATCCCTCACCAATCCTCCAGCCCACGTATCCACCAAACTATTCATATGTGACTCCACCTGCCAACCCACCCATCCTCCCAAACTCTCACCTACTTATATGCACACACCAGCCCACATATGCATCTGCCCCACCTGCAGCCCCACCCCGGGCCACCAACTAGCCATGTAGTCACTCGCTCATCTTCCTTGCTCAGTTCACTCACTCAACCACGGGCAATCATTTCCCTGATGCTGTTATGTGAATGGAATGTATATGGAAGTACAGTGGTGAGGAAGACAGACCTTCCAGGCTCTCATGATCTAGGTAAGGATGGAGACCTTTAACTAGGAATTACAACAGTATCTGCAGGGTGATGATGGAGTCAGCAGTCAGAGGGCTGTTTCCTAAACACACATGCTCAGCTTTCTGCCTCCATGGGCTTATTCATGTTTCTTCTCCACCAGGACTGCCTTCTGCTGGTCTCTTCTGTCCAACCCCCACCCAGTTCACTAAGGCCCAGAACCTCCCCAAGCAACCCAGCCCTGTTCCTTGCTTCCCTTGTCCTCAGCCTCCTTCCCACAACCATTCTTTCCAATCACACTCTAGGAGGGCTTTCTTCCCAGCTGGGTTGTACCCTGCAGGAGGGCAAGATGGATCTTTCTCCTCCTTGACCAAGCGCAAGACAGAGGACTCAGGAAGTGCCCTGAATACCTCCTAGATGTGGGCAGGTAAGCTAGGCAGGACAGGTGGGGTGGAGGAAGCTCACCTGCCCTGGGAGGTGGGTCATGCTTGAGGAGGCAGGGGATACCTCTGAGCCCAAGATCCCATTGCTGAAGTTGGGGTCGGCCATAGGGCCAAAGCTTGGGGGCTCCGGGAAGCTTGAAGGCGTGGGTGTCAGAGGAGGGCGATAGTTGGCGAAGAAATCTGTAATTCAGACACATGAGTTAGGGCTGAAACTTGAAGCAGCGGGAGGAGAGTAGGCCTTTGCCCTTGTCCCTAGGCTGGCTGGCAGTGGGGTGGGGGCTGGAGGGGAGCAGGGGCTTCCACAGGAGATTGTGAAACTAGCAGAGTTTCTGTCTCACTCAGGGGAAGCAGCGACAGAGGCTTGGGTGGGATGGGCCTGAGTGGGAAATAGCAGGGAACTTCTGTAAGGGTGTGTGCAGGGACCCCAGGAAGCAGCCCTCCCAAGCAGCCCTGCACTTGATCATGAGGTACCCCTTTCCCCATCCCCAGGCCTAGGCATTCCCCTTATATGCTCCCACAGTTACCAACTGTGCTGGCTGCATGAAGGGGGCTGGCTGGGTAGTAAAGATACCAGGGAAGGAAAGGGTGAGGTCCAGGGGGAGGAGGTCTAGGATGGGGAGGGGCCCCTGGGTAGCAGGAGTTCAAGGGATGAGTCAGGGGTGAGAGAGGTCAGGAGGTCAGTATCTGGAACAAGTTGGGGTTGCTTGAAGGTCAACAGGTGGGGCCTTAAGGTTAGATCAGAGAAGGGACAGTGAAGGGGCTAAGGGGGTGACAGCAAGGGTCAAAGGTGAGCTCAGAGTGGAAGCAGGAGCAAGGAGATGCTGGAAAGCTGGGAAGAGCTACCAGGGAAGGGACAGCTAGATAGTTTGAGGTGCAGGTTGTGTAAGCCCTGGGCTATTCTGGTTTTGGGAAGCAGCTGCCAGTGGCCTAACCACATCCCGGGCCTGGGTGCCACCCGCCCACCCGCTCCCTTCCGGGCTCCTTTCTCTGACCCTGACTAGCCTTGGGTCTAGCTCCCAAGGCTACTGCTCTAGTCAGAACCCATGACCTCGGATAGGCCCAGCCCTTCCACCCAGATTTCTGGTCATGCCTCTCTCCCAGGGGCTAACTTGAAGGAGACCCAGGGGTGGGACAGTTAGACCAAACCTCAAACCCAAAGGGAGGCATCAGGCCTACAGGTGCATCTATGTGACCCCACATGTCACTGTGTGTCGCCGAGTGGCCAGCTCTGTGAGTGTCAGCACGTGGTCTCACAGCACCTGCCTCCATGAGTGACTCTCCCGCTGTCTGTGGGACCGAGCCTGTGTGCACCTGCCCTCGCGAGGAGGGGCCCGGCATGCGAGTCTTCTCTATGCCCCACCTGATCGTGCATGTGTGCAGATGCATCTCTCTACTGCCACAGGTCAGATGAGTCTTGCCCCCTACCTCCCCTCAGTGGAAGAACTGGATGGCAGATGGTAGGTGGTCACCGACCTCTAACCCCAGGTCCCGTGGGCCCTTGAGACCTGCCACATACTGGGTCTGGCCCCAGGCCACTGAAGGCCACATAGCAGCTCCCTGCTCCCTGCTCCCTGCTGCTGCCCACTCCCCAGGGCTCCACAGGGCTCAGGGAGTAGCCAGCCCAGCACACCCCTGAGTTACCAGTATCCCCTCACCACAGCTTTCCCGCTTGTCCCTCGTCTATACTGGGGCAGCCTCCTAGGCCTAGTTACCTGCTAAGCTCTGAGTCCTCCGGAGCCTCCATTCCACCCTCTGACAGGCCCTGAGCTCCCTCTCCTTTGCTCCCTCACCATTTGCCAAGCCCTTTCCCGGTCACTGAGTGCCCCCTCCTAGCTCCCTCCTCCTTGGGGCTTACCCCTCTGTGTGGTCTCCCAAGTGAGGAACTCTCAGGGACATCAAAAACCTAGCTTTCCTCTGCCCTCCCAGACGCCAAGCATCTGAGGGGGTCACACCAGCCCCCTCCCCTGTGTGACCCACAGGAGAGACTGCTCACGCCACCAGACTCCAGCAGCCATCTAGGATTGAGAGAAGTTTCTTCGTAGCCCCAGCTGGCCAGGTTTTGCTCAGAGCCTAAGGGGGTGGGGGGGCTTGGGCTCCTACCTGTGGTAGCGGTCTGTGTGCCCAGAAAGGTCTGCCGCCCTCCCGGGCCACTCTGCTCCCAGGGCACTGCCATCAACACTCTGACCCCGCAGCCCCCACCCTGCCCAGTGCTCAGGGAGGGGTGGGGGTGGTTCCTCATTCCCTAGGCCCCGCCTCACCTTTTGAGTGACAGGCCTAGGACCCTGTGGGGAAGTGAAGGGGGCACCCCCTTTCAGTCCCCTGACCCTTGGCTGAAACAAGCTGAATGCATATGTGTATCTGACCCCAGCTTAGCTCCAGGGCTCCTTAAATGTCTGAATATATGGAGCAGTCTCTAAGGTTTGTGTAGGGAAGAATCCATTGTGAAAACAAGAGACTTGTTCACATGTGCTGTACAGACATGAGTGTCTCCGGACAGACACAAGAAATCAGTGACCTGGTGCTGCAGGGGGTCAGAAGATGGACAAGGGGAAATGCTACTTTTAAAAAGGTAAGGTCCAGGCGAACAGACAGGCAAGGTTAGTAAGCGTTGAAGCAGGTAGTGGTTATATTGAACTATTCTCCCCACTTTGTGAGTCTGTTTGAAATGTTCTTGAATAGTTTGTAAAATGAACTATATAAGTACACCCAGACAAATCAAAGGCCCTGAGAGATTCCCAGCATCACTGCTTCCCTAAGAGCTCCCAGAGCCTGCAACATCATTGCCCCTGACCCCCTGACCGCTGGCCCACACCTCTCAGCTGAGGCCATACCAGCTGCCTCCCAAGGCAGAGCCCTCAGAAGTCCTCAGACTATTTGCTCTCCAAGAGGGGCCTGGGATGCGCCTGAGGCCTCAGCCATGCTGGCACTGACCCTGCCCGGCCCCACCAGGGGAGAGGCCTACCCCACCTGAGATTTCCATGAAGTCATCCAGGCTGGGCTGCAGAGGCGTCAGATCTGGCTGGATCATGTCAGCATTGCCCATGTAGGCTGGAGGGGGCAGTGGTGCCATCAGAAGTGGCAGGCAGGGGGAGTGGGGCTCACATCCCCTGGACCCGTCCACTGGCCCTCACCATCCTCCGGGGGCAGCTGAATGGGTGTGGGGCTGGGCTGAGTCATGGTGAAGAGCGTGTCAGAGATGTCGGACAAAAAGCAGTCAAGGTCCAGAAGCTGCCGCCCACCGGGCTCCTCCTCGGGACCCCCCAGGAGCACCGGCACCACACTGGAGAAGAGCTGCTCGCACCATCGCTCTGCTGGTGGCCACCCCCCTTCAGCCTAGGGACACAAAGCCATCAGTAACTGCCTGAGTGCTCCACTGCACCCCACTCCTCCCCAATCTGGGGCACAGGGTCTGCCCTGGTCCTTCCATTTTTCTGTGCTGCAGAGGTCAGGGTCACTGTCCAACAATCGTTCCCAGGGGATACTGGGACCTCTTCCTGCTCCCAATACATTTCTTGCTGGCATCCCTACTCCCCCATGCTTCTCAGGACTTGCCCAGACAACCAGAAAGCTTGTTGTCTCCCCAGAACTGCATGTTCCACAGTTTCCCCTCCTATGGGAGAAGGGCTCAACTAATCCACCTGGGGACATCAGCCACACCCTCTCCACTCATATCCCACCCTAAGCTCTGCCAAAGTCCTGCCCAGCAGAGGAAGGCGGTCAATTCCCTGGGCACCCACCTGCTTTGTCGCCAGGAGCTCCCCTTCCCTGCTGGACTTACGGAGCTGCAGGAACACACAAAGGTGGACACTGGATCCCTTGCCCCCTCCTTCTCCACTCCCTGCGAGGCCTCCTTTAGGCACTCTCTCCCCAGGTGCTCTTCCACCTGGGAAGTTAAGGAGGCTGCGAGGAGACTCTGTGGCCACAAGGTGGCATTGTCAACCTGGGACAGAATAGAGGTGTGTGTGTGGTGGTGGGGGGGGCGGTATGGGAGTGATGTGGAAGATGGGGAGGAAAGGGTAGAGGACAAGGTAATGGCAGTGGGGAAACCCCACCAGACTCCTCCAGGAGACCAAGTGGCCAGCAGCCTCAGGGGAAAGGTCTGGCACCTCCCTCTGGTCGCCCACTGACCCGCTTCTTGTAGTAGATGCGCCACTTATGGTACTCGTGCATCACCACCTCAATGCGCCGCTTCCAGTAATTCCCCTCCAGGACCACGGCCTGAGGAGGGCGGGGGCTCAGTGCCAGGGGCCGCCCTGCTGTCCCTACCACTCACCCACTGCCCATGTGGTCTAGCCCCTCCCAATAGCACAAGGGGAGATGGGTGCCCCCAGGGAGACAGGTGGGCTGGGAACCTCAGCTACCTCTGGTTTCCGGTGCTCATCAGCCTCAGGTCCTTGCAAGGGGGTCACGAAGCCACACACAGGGCTCTTCCTCCGTTCCACATCTGAGGGAAAGGAACCAAGTCAGGTGTGCCCAGCTCTGCCATCTCCCATCCTGAGGAGCCAGGGACTCATGTCATACAACAAAGTCCTGCCTGATGCTCAACACAGTGTAAGTGGCTCTTCTTCCAGGAACTTTCTGCCTGTTTGTGCCCGCCCAGGTCTCCTTTTTCTATGCAACCAACCTATCTTCCGTCACCCTGTGAAAGGAACCTCCTCCACCTCCCCTACTCCTGGGAGCCAAGTAGGTGTGCAGGCAATGCTAGCTGAACAGGGCTGCGGGGCGGGCCACAGTAAGGGAACTGCCTCATAAAGTCTTGTCAGCCTGGCAGGCCCCGGAGCTCTGCCTCAGGCTTCTTGGCACTGCCCACTCTCACCCCAGCAAACCAGCTCTGTCCACCTCAGACTACTTACCTGAGCCCTTCCTCATGCCCTCCCTGCCTTCCTCGTTGCCAGCCTCAACCCAGCTCCTTCCTTTACCCTATAAACTCATCCCACGCCACTCTGCTTCTCCCAAACCTCTCCCCCTTCTTTGCTACCCCAACAAGCTAACTTCTTCCCTTTCATCCCGCGGGACTGAGACAGTTTGTCCACAGATTAGACCTGAAAGCTTGAAGTCTGTGGGGAGTTTTTGTGGCTAGGAGGCAATGCTGGCATTGAGCCATCCAGAAGCATAGGCTTTGGAGGGAACTTCAGGAAAAACTTCCTGGCCACAGCAGGAAGATGCGCTGCAGAGTTCGCAGCTGCAGCCAGAAAGGCCAGGTGAGAAGTAATAGCAGGACAGCAGTGACGACTATGGGGGGGAAGTACTACACAACAATAAAGAGTCCCAGCAGCTTGCTTACAGGAAACCCTTCCTTGTGTGTCATATGTTGGGCCCTGTGCTGTTACAGGTGCTCTCACTGAAAACACACAGCAAACATCAGCAGGCGCACCTATTATTATTCCCACTTGACAGAGGAGCTAGCAGAGGCTAGCAGAGGATAGGTCTTTCCCAAGGTCACACAGATAGGGCTAGACTCAAACCTACTTCTGTCTGACTTAGACCAGGAGTCCTTCCAACAACGTGTACAATAGGTAGAGACCAGAGTCTGCAGTCTGGGAAAGGGCTCAGGTGGCATCAGAGAGCTCTGCTGAGACTTTGCACCCCATCCCACTCTGCTGGCCATGTGGAATGAGCGAAAGGGGAAGCCTTGGGCAGGACTGGGAGGACACCACCACCCCTGACCTATCAGCTTGTCCTGGGCAGCGCCTGTCCTGAGCCTTCTCAGGTGAGGGCTGGAAGCCAACCAGCAGTGAAAGGAGCACTGAGCTCAGAGTTGGAAAGTCCTGGACTTCCTGCCAGCCACAGCTCTGTGATTTTTTTATGCTCTGTGACCTCAAGCAACTCACTTACCCTCTGGGCCTCAGTTACTCATCCATAAAATAGGGGCATGATACTTACCTCCCAGGATTGCCAGGCAGCCTGAAATAAGATGATTTATGAAAGTGCCAGGCACATAGATGAAGAAAAACAGTAGATGCTCCCTTTTCTCCGCCTGGCTGGAATCCAGCAGGCCAGTACAAATGCTGTGATCCTTTCGGGACCTTTTGTTCCCAGCTCAGCACAACCTGTGATCCAGCAGCAGGACCTCACTGTGCTGAACAAGATCCCTACATAGGCCCAGCTGGTCCAAGGAGTCAACCCTGCTCTGTCACATGGGAAAGGAGGGTCTATAAAACCAACGGAGTGACTGACCTCCTCAAAGGCCTATCAATTCAACCGTAATTTATTGAGCACCAACTTGTGCCAGGCCCATTCACACCCACCTTCCCTTGCCAACTGTGAGAGATAGAGCTACTGGCCTTGTTTCATAGATAAGGAAATAAGTTCAGAGAGGTTAGACAACTACAGCGCTGACATGCAGCCGGAAAGACATGAAATGGGGGAAAAATCAGCTCTGGTGACTCCAAGTCCAGAATTCCTTCCACTACATCACATGGCCTCTCTGGGCTCCTTCCCCCAAATTGTCACTGCTGGACTTCAGTGAAAGGCTGGTAGAGAAGACCCACGCAGGATCCTCGGCTTCCCCATTTGTGGAACGATGGGCTTGCCTCCCTTAGTGTCTAGAGTCTCTTTCTATCCCAGCATTTGAGACATCTTACACTAATGGGAGGGAGAATAGGCCTTGCACTGTTCCCCAATCTCAGCCTATACTACTACTTCTAAGGGGGGACCCCTGCTGTTCTCATCTTTACAGTGGATAGTGCCTTTGGACTCCCAAAGACCCTCTGGGAATCAGAAGCTCTTCAAAGGGCTTGGTGGAGGGGGCCCAGTCTCCTCCAAAGGCCAGCAGCACCCTGCTGGTACTAGCCCATGAGGGTCTCTTAGGTAGCCCCCATGTGTAGCCCTTCTGCTGGGGGTGGGGGTACTTGCCCACTCACACTGGATATACCAGGCTCTCCAAATGGCGTTGTTGAGGCGAATCTTGTCTCTGCAGAGCAGCTTGAGGCCTTTGAAGTTCTTCCACTTGGGGGAGACCAGCTTGCCACTGTTGGAGGGAGAGGGCTGGGTCAGGAAGGCAGAGAAGAGGGAAAGTGGGGGGTCTTCTGCAGGGGTCCGCCCCCCACTTACCAAACATACTAGGCTCTCATCTATGCCACACCATTTGAGGGATCCCCCAATCCTGCCCCTCACACTAACCTGCTTGAAGTTCCTACCTGCAAGACCCCACTAGGTCTTCTTTTCCCTGGGGAGTTCGGTCTATTAATTTGCTACCAGAGCACCACCCAAGGCTGCTGTTTATCCACTCAGCCCTCAGAGCAGTGCCCTGCAGCCTGGCCTCGCTGGCTCAGGAGGGTTCTTAGACCCAGTCTTGGGAGGGAAACTGAGGAAAGGTAAGGGAACAGGCTCAAGATCACATGGGAGAGACTCACTTAGCCCTTGTGAGTTTTTTCTGTCAGTCAGGCTGACCTCTTTAGCGCCGGGGCCCGGGAAAGATTTGGTGCAGAGGCACCCCCGTGGCACCCTCGGAGCAGCCAGTCACTGCCCAGCCCAGCCCAGAATCCCAGGATGGCAGTCTGGACTGAGGTGGTTGTGCCCCTTCTCGGGGCAGCTCCAGGGTCCCAGAGAAGGCAGCTAGGGTGGTGGAGTGGTGGCAGTGAGGAGACAGCACCCTAACCCAGCACTCCAACAACGCCATGAGATGGAGGGACTCTGCTAGGTGAGGGGCTTGAATTCGGGGTCCTGCTAAGCACAGGTCAAACCTGCTACTTCCAGGGAGCTGGTCTAAGAAATATTCAGGGTCTTAGACAATTGCTATTCCCACCCCCACCCTGCCACCCCCACCCAGGCTGGGTTGTATGAAAGTCCTCACTGGCTCACTTCTCCAACTCTTGCTTGCATGGAAGACTGAGACCCTAACACTTAGTCTTTCAGAAAGCTAGGCCAGTCCTGCAGGGGCCTCTCCCTCATCCTGAGGGTGCGTGGATTACAGTCTGACTTCTCAGTCCCTTGGGTGCATGGGCCACTGGGTCCCCTCTCCTCTCTGGTCTCCAGGATCCTGTGTTTGCCTTGGGCTGGGGATAGTGAGAGGATGGCCACCCAGGGCTCAACAGGCCTCATTACCCAAACAGAGTACACAGCCCAAGAGCTAGGCCCCCTGGCTGAGCTCCTTCCTTCTGAGGTAGATAAGCACCATCTGTTTAATAGGGAGCCTTGGGGTGGGAGGGACACGCTGACACCTACTGGGCCAGCATCTTTGTGGCACCTGTGGGGGACTCCTGAGTTTGTTGTACACGCGTATCCCAGCAACCTTTCAGTCTACTCTGACCACTCAGTACAGGTCCCCTAGTCTGACTGCCCTCTCCCTTCCATTTCCCTGCTGAGGCTTGTGACCAGGTAGGGCTGGGGGTAGGGGAAGGAGGGGACAAAGACAATGCCCAAGACCCAGGAAGAGAGGATTTGGTGTGTACTGGGCCAGTAGGCTGGAAGGAAGGAGAGAGGGCCCCACCTGGAGCAAAATGCCCAGGGCCAGGGTTCAAGGGCTTCTTGTAACCAATAGAAAATCTAGAAATCTTGGGAATGGGATGTAGTATCTCCTAACCAATCCCCTCCCCACAAATACACCTGCCTTGCAAGAATGCCCTTCAGGTTCTCCCTGACAAGGTCATGCTTGCTCCCCTACTCCCACAGCTAGTCAGCTCGGACCATGAGCCAGTGTGTTCTTGGGGTTTCTAGAACCTGCCTTCATGCATCTTCCACAGAACCATGGATGTGGGTTTGTCCTAGAAGAGATGGCTTCCTTCTGACCACACTACCCTGCTCTGGGTGGCAGCTGGCTGGGTCTCCTTGGACTCTCCTCCAGGTCCAATTGGCCAGTTCTTTCCAGCACCTTCTGGACCCCTTACCTTGTCTCTTCCTACAACTCTCTTGGGATACTTGGCTTCAGACTCTCCCCTCTGGGGAACCTATATAATCCCAGTCTGAGCTTGTTGTTCTCCTCAAATGGGGAACATAAAGGCTCCTCTGATATTGAGCCACCTCCCTGCCCAGGGCAGACCAGAGACTTACAATTTTTGGACGTTTAAGAAGAAAACACAGTCTTCTCCCCTCAGCTGCTCCCAACTGGGGTTACAATTGGGATTACATCATCCTCTTGGTAGGGCTGGTTCTTGGAGTATGCTCTGTCACCCACTACCCACCTCCCCTGACCTCCCCTTTGGGGTTGGGGAGGGACAGCCCAGGTAGAGCTGTATGTAGTATAAAGCAGGAGACAGAAGTTGGAACTAAGTGGGAAGTGGGGGGTCCTTGAGGGGAGCCTGGGATGGAGGGGTGCCCACATTCTGTGTACCAAGACCTCAGATGCCCTGTCTGAGACAGGCCCTTAAGTACGAGGGCGGGAGGAAGGGGCCGGGAATTTGAACTTTCCACAGCGGTCTGGAGCCCTGGATGATCAGGTTGCAACATGACCTGGGCCCGGGGCCAGAGCAAGTGGGCCAAGGTTACTACGCCTCCAGCCAATGGGGTCGAGGCTGGGCTGCCTCACTTGGGGGTGGACAACATTCCCCAGCAATCCCCCCACCCAAGCTCCCTCCAGCCTTCAAAGCAGCAAGTGCCGGTAGGGAGCCAGCGGTTTTCAGAATGGGAGGAGACTCTGCGGAGGAAGAGGATTATTTGCACAGAGAAAAGATCAAGGCCGACCGATTCCCCTTTCTCCTCTACGATGGTTTTCGGTTGATAATTTATCCTGGCCCCTCGGCTCCAGGGAACTTTGCTCCAGGGCACTGGGCCAAGACCCCGGTTGGCGCCCTCTGGAGAGAAGCGGGGCGTGGAGGGGGGGGGGCAGTCGTGGCTGGTGTGTCCTGCAAAACGCCCGCCAGGGTCTCTGGCAGCGTTAGGAGCTAGGCTTAGGTGGAGTCCAGGGAAGGCAAGCCCTGGACTTTTGGGTAAATGTCCTGGGCAGCCTGCAGCACCCCCTGCCCAGTGGCGACTGGAACTCTCCACGAGCTGCGCGCCCCCTGGGTCAGCCCAGGGCACCCACCACCCACCACTCTCGTGTTCCGGCAACTGGGGAAGGAGAGTGGGGGTGGACAAAAAAACAGGGTTAGTCGATGCTGGCTAGGAGTTGGGACAATCTTCTGTGCGAGAGTAATGCTGAGAAACAGGAAAAAGAGTGAGCGGTTCTAAGTTCGTTGTCAGTAGTTGGTTGGGTGGGGTCAGAATGGAGGGTGGGTTTGGCTAGATGGTCTAGGGTCTTGGGAGCATGTCATTTCCCTGGGGCAGAGGAGTAGGGGCCAGGGAGGGAGGCCCGATGTGGGCCTATGGAGGTCGAAGTGGAGGGCAGGCAGTCCGCGCTCCGGGGAGAGAGTGATGGTGGTGAGGAGCGGGAATCAGGAGGTGCACAAGCCCGTGGGGGCCAATGGGCTGGGGCAGGGTCAGAGGACGCTCAGGTCTGGGGGAGAGGAGTGTCTGGCAAGTGGCCGGAGTCTCTGAGAGCAGCCGAGGACCAAGACTTGGGGCCAGGTGGTATCTGGGACCCCAGCGCGTGGTCCCGCCACGGAGGGCCGAGGCTGTCGGGCCCCGGAGACGCCCTCACCTGTAGGCCAGGCTCATGCACTCGAAGAGGCGGGTGAGTGTGGGATCGATGCTGCGCGGCCCGAAGTCGACGAGCCCCATGGGCCCCTCCTGGTCGCGCCGCCGGGTCAGCGAGTCACTGTGCGGCGACGACACCATAAAGTGACCGCTGTGGATGACCTGCGAGCGGAGCAGTCCGCCCCCGCTGCGCCGGGTACTTGGGTCCTCCGAGTCTGTGTCGGAGTCCGAGTCCGGGCTAGGGACTCGCAGGCCCCGCGGGCCTTGCAAGCCGGCAGCCAGACCTGCCAGCGCCCCGGCCATGGCTATCGCCGCCGCCGCCGCCGCGCCAGGGCTGGACCCAGCAGCCTGCGCCACTCGTGTGGCCAGACCGGTCTCATTGGCATAGCTCCGCCCTCTGTCCCAATAGACAGTTCGAAGGGGCGGGAAATCCGGGCTCGCGGGCGCGGACGGGGCGGGGCTTATATTAGCATAATCAATACGCCAGGTGTGATTGCCTTGACTTAGCAGTTCCGCTGGACCGGAGTTTGCAAGAGATCTCTATCTCCCCACTCCAACCGCTTTTTTTCTGCTGTAACCACGTAAAACCCCCGTCTAACCGCAAAAGGAGTTTCTGAAAGAGCCGACTATCAGCCATTCTTTCTGAAAGCACCTCAGTGACTGGGGTTCCTGCTTCCAGAAATACCCTTCCCCAGGCCCGCTCTGTCTTCTCTGAGCTCCCGGCTCACGATCTCCATCCGTTGGTCCTCACAGCTGGAAGTACCCACCTCTCACCCCCATGAAAGTCTCAGCACCACCAGTAAACAGAGTGATCATCTCTACATCCACATAGATGCCCCAGAGGGTAGTGCGGAAGAGAGTTCTTCTAGGGCCCAATGTCATTACCAGTGTGATGGGGAGAGGACTGGGTATAGGTGGAGCCTAGGACAATGTCCCTGGGCACCATAGGCAGCCAGCACACTCAGGAGCTTTGGGTCCCTCACCTGTCTCACCCATCTTATGGATCCAACCTATGTTCCTGCTTCTGAAGGAAAAGAAATTCTTTTCTCATCCTAACAACACACCCAAACAGTCTAGCATGGGTATTCACACCTGTCACCTCCCTGGAGCCTCTGATGGTTCTCAGAGGTGGGGTCCTTGTCCCACTTCAGAGGGGGCACTAGAGGCATGCCCTAGTATCTACAGTGGGACAGCAACAAAGGCTGGTATGGACTGTCCCTGGTGGAGCACAGAGAAAGCTGGAGTCAAAATCACCACTTTGGCTTTTTGGAAGGCATGGCTCACATGTGATCACAGGTGGGAAAGGAGGGAAGGCTGTCAGCAGGAGATTGGATGTTTGGAACACTTCCCTCATAGCACTTTCTTTCAGATTGGCTCCCTCCATTCCCACAATCAAACCAAAGTACTATAAGGCCCCTGGAACTGCCTGAGGTGCTGAAATAATTCCCGAAGGCTGCTCACAGGATGGTCCTACCACCCACCTATGGCCTTTGGCTGGTACTTTCTGTTCCTGTCAAACAGCAACCTCATTTTCTCAGCAGCCTCAGCTGCTCTCCACCTGCCCTCTCATGAGTCTACAGGGGCTTCTTTGTCCCTGCCCATCCCTACCAATTTCTGGGGGGGGGGGGGGACTCAGGTGCCCATACCAACCTGCCTCCCTGCCCCACTTCAGATCATTGGCATAGAGATCTGTCTGACTTCTCCCCTGGCCTGTGGGCCCTGAAGCTGGGTCTCTGAGCCCCCACATTGGGCACCTTGGGACTTGGGGAATGCTTGGAGGAAGAAGCATAATGCTAAGAAGAGCTGATGGCTGTTCTCAGGGCTAGGGACAGGACACTGGACTCTCTTGGAGACTCCTAGCTTCAGGGGCCCTGGTTTGGACAAGGCACCAAATCTCAGCTTTGCTGCTAATTCCCAGCACGACCTGGGGCAAAACTCTGTTTTTATACAGGGGGTCTGTTTCTCCACCTGTCAAAAGGGGAAGTCAAATTCAGTGATTTCTTAGGGTCCTGCAACTTTCACTTCCCTTGGTTATAAATGCCTTCTATCAGTGTCCTCAGCTCACCCACCATACTCCAGAGCACTTACCCTACGGAAAAAAATCCCAGATTTGTCTCTCTGGTTCAAAAGGCTTTCCCCTGAGCCAGGTCTCTGGAAGGGGGGAATATTTCTCCCACCCCATGCTCTACCCCTTCCCTGTCATCATTTGGCCCTCAGTAGACACCTGTACCCCTTTTTTGCCTTCCCCATGGCCTGATATCACCTAAGCACTGAAAGACAATCCCTCTTTGTATAATTCAAAGTAACATTACATGATACAATAAATTGAGGAAGTCCACAAATTCTGATTTATCTCTTGAGGAAATCCTCACTTTTAAAAAATATTAATTTATAATTTTTTCCCCCCAAAAATGTTTTAGTGCTCAAACCTTGTTGCGAACTTGAATACATGGCTCACCTGCCCCAGCCAGCCTCCCCTAACCATGTTTGGCCACTTAAAGGAGTATTTCCACTATTCCAGGCACCTTGTCCAGCACTTTGAACCATGGTCTCTAACCTGACCAAAGTAAGTAATATTGCCTCCATTTTACAGCTGAACAAGACACAGAGTGGTGAAACACTTCTTCAAGCCCTAGTTAAGAAAAGGCAGGGTTGGGCCTGACTCTGGAGTCCAGGCTCCTTACCAATGAGGCTGCCACTGTCTCCTCCCAGATGTGATTCCACCCACGATCATCTGGACAAGTCTAACCAGCTGATGTTTTGGGGGCCCTGGCACATCCTGGCACTGTCAGGTGACAGTGAGCTGGGTTGGACTCACCCTTTTGCACCCTTTCCTATTTGACCTCTATTATTCAGTGTTTATAACTTGTCATCGTGAATAAGTCTTGTTTACTACCTGGAGGTACAGGTTGAGGTGACGAATAAGATGTAAAGATCTGGCTGTCCCTGACATCTCCTTGACGCCACACACTGTCTTGCAACCTTAGTTCTCAGATTCTTCTCTGGAGGTAAAGCATCCTTGTCCTTTTGAAGTAGCACCTCCACCTTCAGTTATCTTCCCAGAATCCGACTTCACTTGTTCCCAAACAACCCTAATTCCACCTAACTCACAGGTGGTGCACATGCCTCTCTTTCCCACTAGGTGGCAAACTTCCTGAAAGCAGGAACCATGCCTTTCCCTCAATTATTTTCTTCCAGTAGGTATTTGTGGAATGATTGAGTTTATATCTATTAAGTACATCGATCTATCTATCTACCTATCTATCTACCCACCTATCTATCTACTAATAATATATGTATCTATTAAACAACCAATCATATCATTCTATATCTATAACCTGCCTATGAATAATCACCTATTATCTATCTCATCTATCCATTCATCAATACACACACACACAGAGCCCACTACAGAGCATAGCTGTCCCAGAGAGAAGTATTTCACCTTTTCAAGAGTTAAAAAATATAGAAAGACAAAGATTCATAACTTTCAATATCCATAGAGATAAAGAATAGATTTAGCAGCTGCCAGGGTTTAGGAGTAGTGTGTGTGGGGAAATGGGAAGTGACTGCTAATGAGTATGGGGATTCTTCTAGGGCTGATGGAAACGTTCTAGAATTATATAGTGTAATGGTTGTACAGCTTCGTGAACATACTAAAAACCACGAAAAGATGGATGTTATAATATGCGTGCCTATCTCAGTCAAAGAAATTGGACAATTTTATCCTTACTCCATTTACTGATAATCCTCTTGGCTGTGCGTGTGGGTGTTAGTTTTTATTGCCATTTCATATAGGGGGAAACTGAGACCCTGGAAGGTGTCAGCCTTTAGAGAGCCACTGTGAGAGTTATCTCTGGATAGCTAACCTATGGAGCCTTCATAATAGCACCGTGGTTTGCTGTCCTTTCTGTGGACAAGGCAAGAGGCTTTGCCAAAGAGCACAAGGTAAAAAGAGAACTGGGAACCAAGCACATGTAATCTGACACACATAAATCCCTTCCCAAATGAAGAGAACCTGAACTTCATCCATGCCACTACTTTGTGGCAGTGTACTTTGGCAAATCCCTTTGGAAAGCTATTTGTCAGTATCTATTAGAACTTAAAATCCACATACCTTATGACCCAGCAAGTCAGGAGAAATGAGAAAGACACGTAGGAGGCTGCTCATCACAGCAATATTCTTATTAGCTCGATGTTGGAAACGACTCAAATGTCTATCAACAAGCAAAGTGATAAGTATATCACCTTCCAGTCACACGATGGAATACTAGCACAGAAATGAGAACTGCTCCACAGCCAGATGTGACCATATGCATGAGTCTCCCTGACAATATGTTGCGTAAAAGAAGCCTGAGAGTGGAAGTATATATTCTCTAAGATTTCCTTTATATAGATCTCCAAAGCGGGCATTTATATAAAGCTCCAGGATAGTTTATCTGTGTGTCGGGAGTCATGGTGATCAACCTTGGGCTGACTAGAAGGGACTTTCTGGGTTGCCACTAATATTAGTTTCTTTATCTGGGTATGGGTTTCGTGCATATGCTCTCTGTGACTATCCATTGGGCAGGATGTATACACTTTCATATGACTACTAAATTTAAAAGTTTCTGAAAAGAGAAATTGAGCTTGAACGCGTGTACTTTCACAAGACCAGTCATTCCACCGCCCAGATGCTGAAGCCTACCTTGGCTAGGGGTGCAATGGGCATCCAGTGGTGGAGGGGGGAGATGGGACAGCAGTCCCAGGCGTGGACTTTATATGGAGGGAGATCATCGAGGGATTGAGGAAGTAGAGGCTGGAGAGCTGACGGTGAGAAAGAGGAGTCTTTGTATCTCTACCTGGAAGCAAGATGGGAAGTCACTTCCCCTGCCCAAACCTCAGTTTCTATATCTGTAAAATGGGTGAACAAATTACAAAGGAAAAATTGATAAAAATGACCAAAGTGAGGAAGTTGGATCAGATAAATTTTCATAGTAGCAGAACTCAATTATTCTATCAAAAAATACGGATCACAACATATTTTCCTTTTTAAGACACATACCCCGCATTTATAGTCTCTGCTTCTATACTTACATTTAGTAATGCTACAAGGAGCAGTCATTATTTACTACTTTTTAAAAATATTTTATTTACTATTTTTGTATAGAAGACCAGAGACGGAGGGTGATGTGAGAAGAGTCACCAGAGTGGGGAGCAGAAATGCGGCTGAGGGGAGGAGCAACGGACAACACAGGAAAGGGCTGCTGCACCTGTGGGTCAGCTCCCGGGCCTGGGACCAAACTCAGGCTGTTGCAGTGGTA